CGCCACCTTAGGTGTATGTGGCTGGCGCCTTAGCCGGTTGAGCTATAGGCGCCGAGCCCTAAAGTTAATTTTTTAAAACCTCAAATGAACATTATATGAACTATTAAAGCAATAACCACCTTAGGTTCTATGTTGGTTTTTCTTATAAAAAAGGACATGAAAGCATATAAAAATGTGAATGTGTCTGTGTAATGTGTTAGTCTCATTTACTGCTTCAGCTTATCCAAAAGTACAATCCAAGCCTCTTTTCTTACTTTCCGTCTTTCAGGTCCATTGAATGCAATATGCCTTGCTTCTTCCACAGTTTCGCAAACAAGGCCATTTCCACACACAAACTGAATCACTTTCTTCAGCTGAGGAAATTGAGTCTTTATGACATCAATCACCATTTTACAGCCTTTAATCTCCCTTAATCTTTCATTAATTGGCTTGATCTAAAAGGTTTAAAAGAAGACTTAACATTAGATATACTAAAATAAAAACCAAATGTTCATTACATTCTTTCTCACAAAACATGTAAAACACTGGCAGCAAAAAAGCAACAATATATATTCATATGCAATGAAAGTTTGACAAGAGCATGATGAACTATCCCACCATAGGATCATGTACTATTTTAAAAAGAAAATTTCATCAAAGGTGAGAATACATAATTTCCAGATAAACTCTGTCACTAACTACTTGGGACAAAGCAATGCATGAGAAGTGCCCATGCTTTCAAAAATCATAAAACCTAGTGGAAAATAATGCCTATTTAGGTATGTGTCACAAGAGCAGCACAACGCTATGGAACTTTAAAAAAAAAAAATTTTTTTTTTTTTTTTGAGACAGAGCCTCAAGCTGTCCTCCTGGGTAGAGTGCGGTGACATAACAGCTCACAGCAACCTCCAACTCCTGGGCTCAAGTGAGTCTCCTGCCTCAGCCTCCCACATAGCTGGGACCACAGGAGCCCACCACAACGCCCAGCTATTTTTTTGGTTGCACCTGTCGTTGTTTGGCGGGTCCTGGGCTGGATTTGAACCTGCCACCTTAGGTGTATGTGGCTGGCGTCTTAGCCACTTGAGCCACAGGCGCCGAGCCAAAAAAAAACACTTTAAGCTTAAATCATCAGGAAAGCCTTACATATGACTTTTAAGTTGGGTCTACAAATAGATCCAAAAAGTATACGCAATGTATTACTAAAAATCAGCAAGTAGGATCTTCACTTTGTAAAACAAAACAAAGCAAAAGCTTCTATACAACCATACACAGATATATTTGAGAATATAAATTTATATAAATTGAGTATATGGAAACAATCTGAAGTAGTTACAAAAGATTCAAACAAGGAGGTAGGGTAATATTCCCTTTATATTAGATACACTTTTGCATGATATTTTATAAAAAAATGAGTTTGCCTTGAAAAAAGTCTCAAGTGGGCGGCACCTATGGCTCAGTGAGTAGGGCCGGGGCCCCATATACTGAGGG